AAATCAAATTTCTCTTCATTTAAGGAACATGTCAACACTCAATGGTCTTGATGATACCATCAAACATTTTTAATATGATATTACTAACCTTAGCTACAGATAACGAACTGTCATCTCCCATATACACGGTACCACTCGTCTGCTTGTAAGTAGTAAACTAATGCCTATGTGGACACATGTTGAATGTAGCACTAAAATCAAGAATTCATGAGTTTTTTTATTATTTAAATTCACATATAAAACTACCCTAACACTGCTGCTATCACTATCATTAGAATTATCTCTGTTGACTATATTAGTAAAACTCTCTTGCTCTTTTTCTCTCTTCAGCATGAGACAATTTTTTCTAAAGTGACCATTCTTCAACACTCAAAATAGTTTTCCTTTTTACCTCTAGATTTTAATTTGCCTATTCTCTGTATCCTTCCCCTACTTACCAAACCTTTCCCTTCTATTTTATACTCAGTAAAGTTTTTTTGTAACTCTTTTGATTTTAGTGTGTTGCTAACATCTAGTGAAATACTAGTTTTTCCATACAATATAGTATTAACAAAAGTCTCATAAGAAGATGGTAATAAATATAGAACAATCAATGTCTGATCTTCATTTTCAATCTTAAAATCTATATTATTCAGGTCTATAATTAAAGAATTAAACTTATCAAGGTGTTGTTTAATGGGTGTACCTTCCCTTATTCTAAAATTTTATAACTTCTTCTTCAGATAAAGGCGGTTCATCAGCAATTTTACGGAGTACAAATCTTCTAGTTTCTTTCACGCAGCTGAAGTTGAAATTTCTTCAGCAATCTCTCGCAGAACATTGTCATTGATATTCATAAAAATCACACATAAGGCTCTATCCTGCATACTTGCCTTTTCTGACTCTCTCATACCCTCGAGATATCTTTCTTCATTTGCCTCCCATAAACCTTGTAGTACTATGAATGATCTCATTCTAATCTTTTATAGATTGAAATTCGTACCACCATCAAACTTCTCTATCTTATACTTTGTGAATATCATCTCAAATCCTTAAATTGTGCACCAAAAAACCAAATAGAGAAAAAAAAAACACTATCAGAAAGAAAAAAATACTCACAGGGAGTCACCACTGGACAAAAAACCATTAAACGCAATCACCAGAACCCAGCACGCGCCTGTACGCGCTGCTATGTGGTCCTCCACGTGCTGTTACACACGCAGCCACTGGTTGCCTCTTGCCGTTGACAGAAAACACCAAAAAAAGCACAGAAGCATGCGGCTCGACGAATTTGACAAAGATTTAGTAAAAACGAGTTGAAACACCGCTAGGAACGCCGTAAAACGGGCCTCGAGTGAACTGGGTGTCGTCATGTTGGTTCATCTTCTCTCGCATGCATTCTCCTTCTCCGGCTCTAGTTTCACACACAGATGGGGCCAAACGTCGCGAATCAGCCTTCTTTTTCTCTTCTCTAACCCTCCTCTTCGAGCAAGTCGGTTTTCTTCGTGTGAGTCGTTGCTCATCCGAGCTTCTCCATTTTAGGTCTGATTTCAACAGTCGCCACTCGCACAACCCGGCTTTCTCCCTCGTCAATCTGGTCGAACAGATCTGAGCACGGACCATTTCGTCCGTTCAAGCCGCGGTGTTCACCATTTTGGCCTCTTTGCACGGTTTAGCTTCTTCAGGTAACTAGAAAAAAACTAGATTTAATTTAATTTTTTTCCTCACTGACTGATCTGCTTTCTCTCTCTAATCAAGCTAAAACTCGAACTCTGATACCACTTGTTGGAAAAAATTAATCCCTAAATCATGCACAATCATACCAAAGTAAAAACAGAAAGAAAAGAACACAAGTATTTTACTATTTATAGAGTACATCATTAATAGGTTAACAAACTTATTTATAAAGAGAATAGCAGAGTTTTTAACAAATAAAAACTCTATAGGATATACATCAAATATTTCTTAAAATAAATATAAAAAAAAAAATCTAAATAAACTATTCCAAAAATATAGATAAATATCGTCAAAATTCAAGACACATCAGTATAAACTAATCTTAATTAAAATTTATATGGGTCAATTCCATTTCAATTGGTAGTATTGAAGGTTTATTTTGTGCGAACATTTGGAATAATTATATAACTTGTATTATAAATTTTATTAAAATTAAAAAGTATAATTTAATTACAATTAATGTAATATAATCTCTTAATAACCAAACATAAATATTACAACTAATTTTCCACTACAAAATAAATATAAAAAAAAAATCACAGCATCATAAAAGACGAATATTTCAAATTACACTACACAATTAACAGAAAAAATTAATAAATGTTAATCTTAGGCTTCACCCTCGTTCTGTTCCGAACCTTCTTCTCCAGTCTCTCCATCTTCAAACCTATAAAGCTGATAAAGGTAAAACCCAAAACCCACCAGAGCCAAAGGCATGGCGATTATCTTCCACACCGACATTGACCCATCAAAGAACAGAGCTGCAACTACTGGTAAAAATGGCATCACAAACACATTAACCACATTCGAGAAAAATGGCGAAACCAACAGAACCAAACCCACAGCTCCAACAGAGAAAGCTTGCCAACCCAAACCAGCCCCTACCAAAATCAACACGTAACCTTTCGTCCCTTTGTTGAACCCTGAAACGAAGCTTAGAGTACTCGTCCTTTCAGATGTTGCCAATAACCCTATAACCAGAATGATCGAAGCCACCATTGCTGTGAAAATCTGCATTTCCAACACAGCTCTAACCCTCGTCTTGTTCGTCCTTTTTAATATCACTTTGTCGAAGCTTAATCGCATTAGGGAAAGCATCAAACAGAAAGCAATTGATGCAATTTGAGTGAGCGGGTGACCGATGGCGGGAATGGGTGAACCCGTGCTTGGCTTACCCGGAAAGGAATAGCCGTTGATTGTTGAAAAGACGGCTGATAGAGTGATCAGAACTGCAGAGAGACTTATAAAGTTGGAGACTTTATGGTGATTGATGAGGTAGGAAAATGTAAGGGTGTAAAATAACTGCGTTGCGCTAATTCCAGCGAATCTACTGACAGAAATGTACAAGATTCCGACTGAGTATAACATGGTTGAAGCAGCTAAGAGGGTTCCGAGGAAGAGGTAAATTAAACAGAGCTTGAAGAGAGATGTTTTTCTGTGGAAATGATGGGGGGATTAGTGGGAGGGGTTTTGGAGAAAGAGGAGAAGATAAGTGGGAGGATTAAGATGGGAAATCCAGCGGTTTGAATGAGAGCAATCATCCATGTTCCTCTTCCTCCTTCATTGATGAAAATATTTTGAAGGATTCTGCCGCAGAATTGGCCTACTATGAGCAAAGCTACGCAGAAAACAACCAAAACCCACCATTTTCGTTCTTTATGAGTTGGTGGTGGGAGAACTTGGAACTGCTCCGTTGAGTGATGAACTGGGATTTGTACTACTTGAACTTCTGGAAAAATGGAGTAAAAAAGTGAGTAACTTGTATAGAATTACAACCAATTTTTAAAGGGTAAGCAGATATCATACAAGTGCGTGTGTGTATTTACCTTGTTTGTGAGGTGTGGTTTCAGCCATGTCTGGGATGGTTGAGGAAGGTCTGTTAATGGAGCTAAAATGCTGCGTCTTTGGTTTGCTTTTGTTTTGTGGAATTGGATTGAGTGGTGAGGTATTTAAAGATTTGTATTACGCGGACAAGCGTTCATCCATGGTGGCTAAATTAAATCCACTGGATCTGGGAAGTTGCATTAAAGCAGATGATATTCAAAAAACCAGGTTTTTGACTTATCCAGCCGTCAACTTGGTCGCACATGAGGAACTCAGAATTATTGACTGAATTTTTAATTTTCACTTACTTTTTACTAAATTCAGAAAAAATCAAGAACCGTTTGACCGAAAAAATATAATAATAATGAACAAAAAAAATATGTAATGCGCGAAAAAAAAAAACTACTTGATAGGTTATATTATAATTTTAATAATTTCTTTATTTATTGTGTAGTTTTAGTTTCAGCTAATTCTATATGTTTAATTTTTTGTTAGACGGTTAATAAAATTTTAATAATTTTAGTATTAGTATAATTTTTTTAATATAACTAATTGATAAATGTTTTAATTTTAACATAAGTTTAATTTAGAAAACAAATATAATTTTTTGGCTACTTAGTGTTATTATTTTCCCATAATCACATTCTTAATTTGAATAAATTATAAATAAGAATTAAATTTATCTTACATATAAATTACTGAAAATAATTTAAAATATAAATTTTTAATAATTCAATTAAATTTTAATATTAACTTGAACAGTATTTTTTTAATTGGAATGAACAAAAATTAAAATATTTATTTAAAAATAAACAAATAAATAGACAATACTAATTCATTGTAATTGTCATCAATTAAGAAACTTTAGCCACCATAATATTCTTCTCATTATAATTATAATAATTTACTGTGATAAAACCTAACTTGATTATTATAATTGTATTAAAATATTAACGAGATAAATTACAAATTGTAATTTATGATTCAGTCGTGATATTATTTTTTTGTTCAAAATTATAATAGTCTATTGTGACAAATTTAAATATGATTATTGCAATACTACCAAATCATTAATGAGTTAATTCCTAAATCCATTGTGAGCTTCTGTCAATTAAGAAATTTTAGCCAGCCCAAATGTTTTTCTAGTTCTGATCATAATAACACAATATAAAAAAGTGCAACTTAATTATTATAATCCCACACCAAAACACTAATAAGAAACTTTAAAGTCACTGTAAATACAAAATCTAATTCCATTATTGTATTCCTACTAAAGTACAACCCAATTATTCTATTTCTACCAAAACACTAAATAAATTAAAATATAAATCAATTGAATCAAAAATTATAAAACGATCATGACTAATATATAATACATATACAACTTGAAATCTTAAAGTAAAATGTTAGAAATTTAAACACATAATCATAATCATAATCAAAGTCTTATCCAAAAATGTAAAGAAGTTGGATCGCCCAAAAAAAATTTGAGCTCAAATCAAAATCAAAATCTTTCTGAGAAAAATCATGTGAGGAAAAACCAATGAACAAAGGGTTTAATACAAAATTATAATCTACATTCGTTCACAAATGAATTTTTTCTTTACAATACACAAATGGAATTGATTAAAAAGAAAGGAAGAACAAATAAATTTACAGAACAAAATTCAAACTTCACAAACAGAAAATTAAACATGAGCCCTTTTAAAACGACGAAGCTCATGGAGATAAGAAGCCAAGCCCAAAACAGCTAAACCCATGGCCAAAATCTTAATCCAATACATCGGTTCTTCAAAAAACAGAGCTCCAGCAACGGTCAAATATGGCAGCACTAACACATTCACCAAATTCGAAAACAATGGAGAAACCAACAGCACCAGACCCACCGCCCCAACCCAGAACACCTGCCAACCTACTCCAGCTCCAACCAGTAACACCACATAACTCGCCGTCCCCTTGTTGAAATTTCTGACAAAACTGGCCGTCGTCGTCCTCTCCGATGTTGCCAATAACCCAATTACCAGAATCAACGAACCAATTAACGCTGTAAAAATCTGCATCTCTAGTATAATCTCAACACTTCTCTTCGTGTTCCTCTTCAGTATCACTTTGTCGAAGCTGAGTTTTATTAGACAGAGGAGGAGAGAGAAAGCAGCCGACGAACCCACCATGAACGAATGACCGATGGCGTTTCCCGCGTGGAGTCCTTCAACAGGCCTAGTCGGAAAGGAGAAATCGGGAATAGCTAGGACGGCAGATCCAGTCACGATAACGACTGAGATTAAAATCCAGATAGTCAATTTTTGGCGATTGATTATGAAAGTAAATATTAGGGTATAACCTAACTGGACTGCTGTCATTAGAGTCAAGTTAGGGAGAGAAAGGTAGAGAATCGCAATTGAGTAGAACAGAGTTGAAGCAGCTAAGAGAACACCGAGCAACAAGTAAATTATACAGAGGATGAAGAGAGATTGGCCAGTGGTGGTGGTGGTGGGGGTGATGGGGGTGATGGGGGGATTATTAGGTCTGGGATTTTTAGAGAAAGAGAAGAAGAGAAGTGGCAGGATTAAGAGAGGAAATCCTGCCGTTTGAACAAGTGCATACATCCATGTCCCTCTTCCTCTTTCGTCGACGAAAGTTTTCTGTAGAATTTTACCGCAGAATTGGCCGATTATCACTAATCCAATGCACATAAACACAGATAACCACCATCTCCGTCTGATTTTATCCTCATCCTCATCCTGTTCCTGCTGTGTTGACTTATGAACCGGAATTTCTACTTGAACTTCTGCAACAAAAAATACACATTAAATATTTATCAATTAACATAAAAGATATATATATATATATATATATATATAATTGAAACGAATATGTATATATCTGTACCTTGATGGCGGTGCTGTGGAGATTTACTCGCCTCCATAATTCTCTAAATGAAGAGAGAAAAGAAAATATGAACTGGTTTTCGAGCTTCTTGTTCTTGAGAAATCATGGAGTGTTGTTTAAATAAAATATGAATCAAGATTTTGTAAATCCGTTCCATTTCGGCGGCGATTCAAAGTTAAAAGAAAGCTGTTGCCTGGTTTGCGAAAATAATAAAGAAGAAGATGAGTAAATGGTTCAAAGGGTCTTAATATTGTTTCAAAGCGTGATTTCTGGTTCCACCATCACCATCCAACTGGGTGGAGTACCAGAGACTCTTTTGTAGGATAAGGATTAATGATTAATTAATTAAGATATTATTAAAAAATTTAACTCTTAATTTCTCATCAAAGCTGTTAAATCATAATATATGAGTTATTTCAAGCTTATCCAATAAAAATAAGAATATACGACCAAAATGCACGTATAAAGATTAATACTTGATTTAGTGAAACAAACAGAGAACCAAGATTCGAAGAAGAAAATCATCTATGGCCGATCTTTTGTTCTCTGCGATCATCAAGATGGTTCTGGTAAAGATAAGAGGCAAAACCCAGAATACCCAACACCATAGCCACAATTTTAATGGCATTCATCTCCTCCCCATAAGCTATTAGAGCAAACAGAGGCACAAATGGCAAACACAACATGCTAATGAAGTTAGAAAACAGAGAAGAAACCAAGAAGATAAGCCCCAGAATTCCCACTGAACAAATTTGCCAAGCCAAAGCAGTTCCAACCAAAGTCAACACATAACCCGTTGACTTCTTATTGAATCCCTCCATCTCTTTCTTCAATCCCAAGAAATCTCCACTGGCAAACAATCCCACCATGCAGACAATTGTAGCAACAAGAGATGTGTAGATCTGCATCTCCAAAACGACGCCTAAGCTCTCCTTCTTCAGGACTTTGTCGAATGAAAACTGCATCAGAGAGAGCAATAAAGCATAGGCCGCTGAGGCAGCTATGGTGCAAAAGAATCCGATTATGTAAAGGCTCTTTTGATGATCAGTTTCTGCATCTTTGTATTTCGTGCTGTAATCGCCATGAATGGCTACTAGCATGGCTGACAAAGTGAGGAGGAATACAGAGGTGAATATCAAAGGAGTTAGTTTTTCTTTGTTGATGAAGAAGGAGAAAATTGAGTTGAAAATCAACTGGGTTGCACAGAGGATGGAGTAAGTTGACAGAGGGAGAAAGATAAGACCTAGTGTGTACAAAATATTGTCTATACCAAGAAGAAGACCAAGAGAGAAGTAGATTGATGATTTGGTAGTTAAAGAAGGTTGGTTTGGTGGGTTATTGGGAGGAGTGTTATGATCAGGAGAATTAGGGAAGAAGAAGAAGGGAAGGTAGAGAACTGGAAATGCAGCAGTTTGCACAAGAGCTCCCATCCATAAACTCTTACCACCTTCATCATAATAGAGTTTCCCGAGAATAACGGCCCCAGATTGTCCGATTAAGAGGAAGGCTATATTTGCTACCACCAAAACCCACCATTGCCATCGCTTTAGTTTGATGATTTGTTGCCGATGATTAGACATATCATTCTCTGGTACCATTTGTTGATGATCAGTCATCTTGTGCGGACTTTGCTTTCATATGTCACCAACGTTGAAAAACAATCCTCCAAGGCCTTGTTGCTAATTGTTTAATGATTAATATCGAAGATAATTTTTATGTCCTTTGTACCTGTCTTGTCTTTTTTACAATAATTGCAGAATATTTATTGCCATGGGACCAAGTATTGACCTTTCTGTTTTGGCTCTTTTCTTTGAGGCAGATGTTCCTTTTAAACGGCTAAGATCAAGAGTATGATAAACTTGGATTCTCCATGGATTTTTTCCCCGGTGAAAGAGGATTTGTGTCTAAACAAAATGATTAAATTATCAAATAATGAATTTCTGAATGAGTTATCCTAGCATAATCTGCAACCTTAAATTGCAAGTGATCTGTAAAACCTCAGAGCCCATTAGCCACAATTCGTAATCAGGATTTTGACACAATTTGAAAGTGAATATATTTACAACAGACTAAAGAAGAAAAACTCCTCTTCTCTTGACAAAACTGGTAGAAGATGGACCAGGAGGAGACCCAGAAAGCAAAATGGTAAAATGCTGGATTCCAGGCGAGCTTAATAGCTTCTTAGCACCCTGTATGTCAGGTAATGAAAAAAATAGGGCGTCAGTACGGATTAATGTAAAACAATGCTTTTATAGAATGACGAGGTTCCAGAACCGAATTCGTGTCAGGATGATTCTGACCTTCCCAACTGAGAGAGCTCAGGTTCTGCCAATAGCATATCTTGTAGTTGTTTACCATACATTTCTCTATCAGAGCTGCAAGATGAAAAGAAAAAGAAACCTCTATGTTAATTTCCTAGGGCAAAAGCAGTTCCTAAATATCGAGGAAAATGTGAAAAAAAAAATCATAATTTTTTAAAATATGAGTGCGTCAGTGTAATGGATGCATGGGGAATGGTCATAATCAGATGCAATGATTTCTTTTTCTAAGGAAGAATTATATTGATCATCAAAACAAGATGACCGCTAACCTCACATACATTGGAGATATACAAAACAAATACATATTTATAATGTAACCAAACCATTCAAAGAGCAGAAGAATTGCGGAAGAAAAGAATGAAGTCTACCTGAAAAGACAATCAAGGGAGAGCAGCCTGTGATGGAGTGCAAAATCACGACCAACATAAGTGACGACCAAGCTACCTGCATCTGGATGCGGCCAGCTTCTGGAAGTGGGAAACCGAAGTATGAATGTGCCAGGCTCTTGAAGGCCCCGTGGACCTTGGAGTGAATTTTCTGCTTCTTCCTTTGTAACAAACCCTTCTATCCATTTAGGTGATGCAGAATTCCACATTGCATTTATCCAGTCTCTTGAGAGTGTATAGGCAACAGGATATAACCAACACCACATTCTCTCAAAGTTTTCTTGCACCACATAATCATGGCATCCAGCAATTCTTCTGAGAAGCTCAAGGTCCTTGAGAAATTATTAAATTAACACATTAAACGGATTGCCATAATGCTATAGTTTCCACACCAGTTCATAATCAATAAACTCGTATTAGCGTGCTCAGCAACTCGAAGCTATTTCCAATGCTTATAAATTGAGAATGATAACAACTGAGGCCAGTAAGACAGAGAGAAGAAACCTGTTGAGTAAGAGATCTAGTATTGCAACAAGAAATCTTCATGAATTGCTCTTCAATCTCAAAAACCACATTTTCCCAATGAACTTGGTGGTTGTTCTCTGAGATTGAATTCCAAGCTTTTTCTCCTTCTGCTATCAATCGTTTAGCCATATGTATTTGGTAACTGAAGCAGAAAAGAACTTTTAATTATCAAATAAACTGAATTTATTGTGGTTTCCATGTATTTGATGCAAGATCCCCCCACAGAAATGGCAGCAATCAGTTGAATGTTCCAATACCCTAGTAGGTTAAAACGTAAAAACCATAAATGACGGCATTGGCATACTGATAAAGAAGCTTCAACTTAGAAGAACACTTGAGGCCCATCTGAATGTGCATCGTGTGCACCATAGTTGTCTCTCCTTGGAGGGCTAACGAGTACCAAAACTCCAAAATATTGAACTAAAGAAATTGACTTCGCAGATCAGAACAGAAATGATGCACACATATTTTGATGGGTTTTGGAGGAGCATCCTACAAGAATACAATAATCAATGATAATGGTGTTCAGAAACAACATACCTGTGATGAGAGCATCCTGAAAAAAGGGAAACCTGATCTGCAAAGTCGAAAAGTTCTGTATCAGATGCATTTGTCACAATTTCCTTCAGCAGAAGGGACCTGTCAGTCAAGCGTCCAAGACAGTATTTAAAAATGGCCAAATCTGAAATCGGATTTCTAGAACTTGACATGCTCCTGAATGCTGGATCTCTAACTTCAGTACTCTCCGAATCAGATGAAGAGTTCTCTGCTTCTTCAAGGTTATTAGGTCTCTCCTCCAATCTTGAATCATATGCATTCCCATTCTAAATGGAAATTGTAATTTAGAGGAATAGAATAAGCAGTAAGTACCAGAGGCAAAAAGCTCCAAGATTAAGAAAATCTTTTCAAGTCATCCAGGTATTCTAAAAAGAAATATCAAATCTTGGGTAAGGATGCATAACTCAAGATATATTAATTGATGGCTTGACTTTTCTGGTATAGCAACTGGGATAATAAAGAGAAGTTCTCTGTACAAAGTTCTATTAAATCTGAAAACTGAATTATATGTCAGGTTCTTTCTAGTATAAAATCCTTAAATCTTCTACATTTTTTTTGTCCAAGTTTGTAAAGAAAAAGCAAGAACATTTTGATGATATAAAACGAAAATAACTAAAACGGACCAGGAAATTACAGTCAAGTGTTTCAATGTAAGATTGCCAAATATAGGTATCTGAGCCTAAGACTCACTTGTAGGTTATGTTTAGAAGAAACTTAACAATTTAGAATTTATTTGGAATGTATACTTTGTTCAACCATGAGAGGATTAAAATCAAACTTCAAAGAATTAAAATCCAACTCCAAATGGATTCAAGCGGAATTTAAACGATCATCAGTTTGAATATTCCACACGGAGTCATTATGAGCTGAAATTTTGTATTCTTAGTTGAACAGAATATATATTTCAATATGATCTCCAGAAAAATAACTTATTTATTCCGAACTTACCAATAAACTACGGTAAGATATAAAATATTAAATTGCTTTCATGGGAATACAAGAAACATAAAACATAATAAAAAAAACACGAAAACACTTTTAATTTTCGTTTCTAATTTAATTCATGAAAGTAAGAAAAAGTTGCATATTTAGAAAATAATTAAAGCAAAATAAATTAGTTTTTTAGAAAATACTAAAAATAATATTTAAAAAAATTTTAATTTCATCATCATTTTCACTATCATTTTGCTTCATTTTTAACTAATTTGTACATGTTTTCTAAAAACAAAACATAAAAGGTAAGAAAAAAAAAACTAGAAAATATTTTCATGGATCAATCAGAACCAATTTTTATTACCATCCTAGCATTAATATGTGGATAATGCTGTGCCAAATAAAAAATGGAATTATTGGCACCTGTTTAGCAGTGCAGCCATAAGAATTGCATTCTTCTTCAGGTCGCTCCACTATGGATATCCTTTCTTCTCCCAGTCTGCACCGTTTCAACGAAGGAGTAGGTGTTGCTTCACCTATGGTATGATGCCGAAGTTCTGACGAGTTGTCGTCTAACCCACTTGACTGAGTTTCATTTAGCAGATGGCTAGCAGAGGTTGTTCTTTTCCAAATAACAGTGGCTGTCCGTGTATTACGACTCCGGGAAATACAACGAATTGGATTGGAAAGTACCTCAAAGAAAGGATATCCCTTAAGTTTCAGAATTTGAAACTTAATGCAGAACAGCCTGTTATCACATTTGGATGAAAGCTGAAACAGAAGCAAAATTAAAACAAATAATCTTCAGTGGATTCCAGAAATTTATGTACATCCACAGCTAAACTTAACTAAATTACAATTCAAGCACCAAGTTGAAAAAATTTCATCAATATGTTGGGAATCAATGTTGAATAAAAATTTGTCTTTATTTATCATTATGAAAAGATTTTGCAGTGCAGTTCTACAAAATAGCTGATAACTGGACTCTCTGTCATATTATCACAAGCATTTCTAGGGTCCATCTGTATACGCGATTATAAGAAGAAATAAACAAGTATTTACAGCTCATAAATAAAATGCATTTGATGGACAACATTTCCATCTCCTGCATTCAAAGCCCAAGCTAAACTTCTTTGATCGGACCATCATGGTATCAACTGAAGAGACAAGTAGCTTGGTAGTAAACAGGTGATTAGATAATAAGATCATTGCTGGCAATCATATAAAAGATAATATGTATTTTATTTAATATCAACACCTGAGATATCTTAAGCTTAAAAGATGCACGCCCTCGCAATAGTTTGCTTGGTCTATCACCTGAAGCAAATTCTATCCCATCATAGCTTGCCAAAAGGGGTGGCTCTGCATCACCTGTCTTCTCCACAGGGGTCCCACTATCAGCGTATAAAAGTGAAGCAACAACCTATTACAGAAAACAATGAGCCGAATCATACTATATAATATTCAAGGATATAACCTCATGTCCAGAATAAATTCTGTACTTACAGCAGTTAGTTCCTTCCTCTTATTTCCATTACTAGTTTTGCTTACTCTCATTCCTTATGGTTTCTAATAAATCTCATTCCTTTTGATCTTTTCAATTTCTAGATGTCTCTTCTCTCTTCTTAACTTTTAGTCCTTCCATTTTTTCTCATTCTTTTTTTATATGATCAATCTTTTATTTCTTTTTATGTTCATCTTTAGTCTTTTTTTTTATTTATTCTAATACTCTTTCGTACCCATTTTATATTCTTTTCACTATTGTTATGTTCTTTTTATTTTTATTTTCTCTTTGCAGATTTCTTTCCTATTTTTTATCTTGTCCATTTTATTTTTTTCTCATCAATTAACTATAATTATCTAAAAATAAAGTATATACTAATGAAATCTCTAAAAAAATTGTTCAGGAACTTTAAGAAGCATGAGGTATGTGAATATGTTAATATTTACTGAAAAAAGATCATTTTTCCTAAGTTTATCTTAAATTTCAACTTCTATTTAAAACAAGTTATTTAGACTAATAAATAAGTTATGAGATTTCGAATTCTAAAAAGCATATAAACATTATTTATTCTTAATAAATAGAGGAAAGAATAAATTACAAGTGTGTGATAATTATTAAGATATAATTCTATATGAATTCAATAAAAACAATATCTTCATAATGTTATATTTTAAATATATCATGAATTATCCATTATTCAAGAAACTTGATACATAAATCTTGAGTACCCTTGAGAAGTAGACGTAAATTGATCTATAAGAATGAGTAATGACCAATTTTCATATGCCTAGCAAAAGACAAGAACCCATGGAATGTTGGTTAGAAAACAATCTTACTTTACCTCTATTATCTTTTCTTTTGAGAGAGAAAACGAAATAAATAGGATTGCATAACTTAGAACCACATCCAGACAAAATTTTGAAATAGAAAATTTAGCTGTAATGTAATGAGTGAAATAAAACGGATCACTTAGGCAGCATATAAGAGAAATCATCACTACTGACTATTTCTTTTAATGCAATAGATTGGAAACAGAAAAAAATCTTATCATATTTTTTTGAGAGAAGTAATTAACATGGTGTTCATATATCCACTCCATAATATTTAGTTTTATTTTTCCTTCTTCAGTATTGATTGCTTGAGGTTAAAAATCAACTTATAATGGAATATATTTAAATTTTTCAAATATGATAATCATATATCTAATAATGTTTTTAATGCACAAAGTACAAGTAACACCCTAATTATGCATTAGCAGAGGCACAATACTAACAAAGAATAAACATTATGTCATTGGGTATATGATGGCTAACGTCTGAAGATATTCACCTCCATTTCCTTGGTCACTGTCTGGCCAATGGCATTTGATAGAATAAGGTCCAAGGAGAAAATCCTGCGACAAGATGCCTTTAAATGGCAAAAGTAAGGACAAGTCTCAAAGCTTTCACCATAAAAATTGCTTTTTAGCTCACAGCTTGAAAGTTGATGAATTCTAAAGTATATAATCTTCAGGCAGAGAGATAGATACCAATTCACGATATTATACTTAAGAATCAACAGGATGAAAATTAAACAAATTAAAAACCAATACCAAGTTTTACTTTTCTCTACTTTCTTTTTTCTATTATATATTTCTAATTCGAAGCTAAACCTTGAAGAAACTAAATTCAGAAATCCATGTCCATGGCAACAAAATCTTAAGCTCTCTGGTAACACACTAAGTGTTCCTTTAGGCTCTACCATTATCATGTAGAATGAAGAATTAGAATATTAGTAGCTAGTTGTTACTTAGAAACGTTTTATTGAAAATGCTTCAAATAAGAGAATAGAATGCTCCAATGAAAATGATCAAACAAATCTGAGCTTTACAATCACTGATAATTAGTTAACACAGAACAAGAGACACCAATGCTTTTAACGAACAATACAGCATTCAAATACAAATGCAAGATTTATGATTTCCAACTCCCTTTTTCTTAATTATATCCAAAAGATTGCAAGACCCATCCGGTTAAACTTTTAAACCTTGTGAAGAAATTAACAACATCTGGATGATATTTTATTGTTTATTTTGGCAGTTTAAACTAACAAGATAATTTTCTTCACAATGTTAAATTGACAAGATAAGTAACATACGGAAGAAATCTACCTTCAATTGTTAACACCGTAAATGCACCATGAAATAAATTTCTTGCCAATTTGAAGGGTTTGAATTCTAAAATTAAAACAGACACAATAGAAGGAGGAGATATAACACCAAACGGAATTGATTCAAATAATTAAATTGTTCTGTTACAATATAATTCTGGAAAAATATAGAAAAGGTTGACTTAAAAATAAAATTAGGGTTCTGCTTGATGACTCTATGGATGAACACTGATATCACGTTCCAGAGATTATACTGTTAAAAGAGTAGCAAATTTAAACTTTCATCTAAACCCATATAAACAGAGAAAAGATTGTGTTAATTTAGAAACTCTAACCTTGCCGCCAACAATACTCCAAACACCATCACTGTCTACTTCAATTTCAGAGGTAGATGAATTATCAATAGATAAATGTAATGGTGGGTCCTGGCATCAGATAGGCATCATAAGAAATAAAGAAAATAGACATGCATATCAAAAGGCAGCAAAGAACAGCAGAAACTAAATGCAATTACAAACCTCCACATAGTGTTCCTTGAGATAAATTCTTGAACGCACAACTTTTGCATTGTAGATATAACCTTGTACACTATAACCATCGCCACCAACACTAAACAATGTCATCTTCCTCGGAAAATCTGGGTTGGAGTCTTTGTTCAGCAAGGACGATAGAAATTGCTCCCCCACAATATCACCATCAATGTGAAGACGCACAAAATTTCTAGAAACCTGACATGACACTAAGAACAAGCATCTCAAATTCTCTGTAAAGGACATCTTCACTTATGCAGACCACTGGGTGAAAACACATGCATGCTGTGTAAGACTGCAGTTGAAAACAGAGTAAAATGACTCCGGAAAGATATATGGTGTCTAAGCACGAAATGAATGAAGTATTTTAATAAATACCTCCATTAGTTCAAGGTCTTAAAAGAAACATTCAAGAAGCTAAAGAGTGGCACAGAACCATCATGATCAAACAGATGCAGTGTTAGGCATTATAATGCAGAACAAGAATATCCCAGTTTAAAGCAACTGAAAATTTAAAACCATACACTATTCATTTGTTTCCATCACCTGTGGAAATTGTAAGTAATAATCATCTTTATGATGATTGAGGTTATTGATTCCTGTGCTTACTTCGGCACTTAATGGAAGTCTATGAGATGGTACTTCCCCTTTTAATGAAGTTCAGTTTTTTAGCAGACATCTGATAATCTTTTCTCTTTGCAACATTTATTCCAGGATGTGAGCAGAAAACACTAGCCCTCTTACGTACATGTTTCAAGGTATGTCAGAGATGCAATTAATTTCTAGGGAAAGGAAGACACTATCACATTAAAGTCAATTTTTTTATTTAGAACTTACTCTAAGAAATTAGACGTGTTATTTTTAAATGACATGAGCAGCACAGTTTGTAACATAGATCCACATAGAAATCCGAAGAAACAGTGTGCCTTCAGGTGCCATAAAGTGAATAAAAAGCTTAGAATGCTGAAAATATACTTAAACCTCTCCAAACTTCAAATAATATAACTATCAAGAACACCCATAGAATCCCGTTCCATTCATGAATCTTTTTATTCTCATAATGTTAAGGAAAGAAAAAATGTGCAGGAAAAAAAGTATTAGAACAGAACAAAGTAAAAGTTGTCAAGTAAATTGCAAACTTGTAGTCTATAGATCAGTTCTCATGGCAGCTTCAAGGTAAAAATATTACCTCGCATCCAACATGAATCCATTTTTCTAAAGGAAACTCAATTTTCATGGGTACATTTGGAACTTCTGTCCAGGAGGCAGTATTTCCAGGATCTGGAGCTTCCCTGTGTAAGAGAGTCAATGGCAAAAGCATCATCATCTTGTTTTCATTTAAAACAAGGAAGGGAGCACTGACACTCATATCCATGTGCACCTGCAAATAAGACATAGTTATTGACCAACCAATGGAAGCTATAAGAGAACAAATTATCAAAGATATAAGAAAATACAAATTCAAGGAAGCATTATAAGATAGTAAATCTCACATATGAATCATGAGATGTAACATCTATTATCCATTACACTTAAATGGACTATAAAACATGCAAAACAGGAATAAACTACGGCATGAATAAACACAAATATGTATGAGTCTAGAGCGAATATCAAGACAATAGCCACAGAATAGAAGGGGAAAAATGACAGGAAAAGAAAGCCATGTAAAACAGACTGGCTGTTGAATTTACAAGCACACATCAGGGACTAATTTATGACCATGTTTCCATAAGCCTCCACAAGTAAGTTGTGATGAAAACCCAAAACTTGCTTAAACAGGAGGGAAAAAAAAATCATTTAACCAAGCAAACATGGCACTCACTTTGACTAAAAGCAAGCCAACAAAAGATGTGCTACAGAAACAAAAAGGAAAACAAAAGAACAAGTAACAAAGAAAAACTACATAACAAAAGTGAGGACCGTAATAGAAAAAGTATCAAGCTTTTGCTAATGGAAACATGGAGCTTCTATATGTAATGAATTTTTACAGCAATCTAAGACCAAAAAACCATAAAATCAAGTTACTCACTAAGATATTGAGCAAGAAACATGGGAAAAAAACGAACAAGAAGAAGACAACAAATTTATGAAAAATTACATACTGACAAGTGAAACTCATAAAAGTGACAAATTTGTTGTGATACAGTTGTTAGTCATACATTTGGAGGTCCATGTTACAAAATATTTGAAAATCTTTCTCAAAAGCAGAAACTTTTTGAAATTTGAATAAAGCTATACCTTACTCATAGAAAATTTACACGCCCGAAATAAATCAGAAACGCGCAATATAATATTAGATGACTCAGTTTTCATATGTGATTGAACTTAGCAACCTACCATAACATTTTTTTGAACTTTTTTCACTAACAAAACTGCGGAAAAATACAACTTAGATAACCATCACACCAATATAAGCAGCACATTTAATATGATGAACAGAAAGTTGCAGCTTCCCATCATTTATTTATATAACTATAAACACCCAGAATATGAGGTTCACAAATCAACGATTACACATACCAAAAACAGACAAGAGACTTCGCCCCAATGTTCATTCCTGACAACCACTTCAGGTGGTTGAGGTTCAGTTGTGGGGTTAAAACTCCTGTTTAGACATAGGCATATCCCCTTAACAAAAGTGCTCAACCAAAAATATAAAAACTAAGAAATACCATTTTACTTTCTCTATAAATGAAACAGAAGATTGAAAGTTCATCTCAAAAAGAAAGGCTACAGAATGCCCCAAGCAAACATGAATAAATGACAATTGACAAGCATTTTATGCACCATGTTTAACTTACACAGAGTAATAAACCAGCAAAATAAAATATAACATTCGAGTCCTTGCACTGATCTCAGGTTCGGAACTGCAATAAAATCTCCATTTTTTGGCATACCCAGATTATGACATAACCAAGAAGGGGAAAACAACAAGAACACGGAAACAAAAACTACTCGGGGAAAAAAACACAAACAAACAACAAGATTATGCAAGGAAAGTGCAAAGGAAATTGTTGGGTTTTTTTTTTTCTAGGACCTGTCTGATAATCGTGGCTGGAAATGTAGTGGAATTCAAGAGGTAAACCCAGAAACAAAGTGAGAAACTCCCTTCATCTTCAACCTCAACATCCACGCTAAAATCCTTAAGCAAACAATACTTTTCACTTTCTATAACACCCGCCATCCCCTTCGCCTTTCTTCCAATCTTAATCCCCTCGAAACCTTAAATCCACATGAAACAACTCTTCGACACTCTCTATCTCTTGCTTTCTCTAGCAACAACCAAACAGAGAAGACCAATTTTTGCAGTCTCGCTCTCTCTCTCTCTCTCTCTCTCTCTCTCTCTCCCTCCCTCCCCTCCCTCCGGAAACCAAAAGCAAGACAAGACAGAGTTGCTTCGATGACGGCTGTTAATTAACGGTTGATACCCTGTTCCTGCTCTTCAGCTGAATTATTATTTTTTTTTTTCAAAAAAAAAAAAAACACACAAAAAGGGCAAAGAGAAGAGAATCTGCTACGTTGAGGTGTATTTCTGAGGAGTTAATTAAACCTTGGATGACGTGACAAATCTCCATTGGGTGGGTTGTAAGTACTGTTAATGTAGGCGGGTACAGGCTTGAATTTAAGGTTATTTCTTGGAGGGAAGAAGGGGAAATGGGCCCTTAGAAAGAGCAACAAATCCAGGGACATGCATGGAAGGATAGGCCCAATTGATGTCCACCCCACAAATAACGTTAGCCCATCTAGCTCTTTTACAAGCCCCCTTTTCTTTTTTCTTTTTTTTTTAAATTAGTTCTTAAAAGTTCGTATTTGATATACAAATCAATTGAATTAAACCCAGTTGATCCGAGACTCCTTTAATTTATCATTAGGTAGAATGTTCCATTAATTAGAATATGTATCAATTAAGCTAAACTCAGTTGGCCCGAGTTCCTTTACTTTGTCGTTGGGTAAAATATTTATTCTATACTGATCTTACCTTTTAACTAAAACTCGTATTAATTCGGATAAATTCAGTTACTTTTGAGTATCGGGTATAGTATCCCACTCTCTATGAATAATTAAAATACATATTAATTAAGAGATTTCTTTTATTTAATCATTAGATAAAATGTTTGTTCTATATTAATCTCACCGGTCAAATTCAAATACATGTTTAAATTTAGTTGGTCTCAACTCATTTACATTGTCATCAAGTAGAACATCCCCATTCTATAATATCATTCTTAAATTTTTAATATTTTTGTCCAATTTGATCTTTGTCAATTATGATAATTGAATTATTAAGTTTGGTGATTCCTATTCTTAATTGTTAAGGAGAAGTGTCCTCAGCTTTTTGAGCCTCTGGTTAGTACTGACTCAATTAAAGAGAGAAAAAAAAAAAAAAAAAATCTGCTTTTCATTGTAATTTTCCCCCAAAAAGCCTCCCTCCATTTACACTTTTGTCTTTCTCTTTTCCCCTTAATTTCTATTTTCTCCATCTCCGTCTTCTCTCTCTTCCTCACGAACCACAGCTTATGAATATCAACAGCCATGAATTTCTCATCACCTTTTCTTTTCATCTTGTTACTCTCCCATCTTCTTTCCCATTCTACTTTCTCCACTGCCAAACTTGAAGGTATCATAATCTCTCCTTCTCCCTCTCTCTCTCTCTCTCTCTCTCTCTCTATATATATATATATATATATATATACACACACACACACACACATATTACATTTGGAATGGAGTATATGCATATATGTACGCATATACACTTTACTGATAAAAAGTGGGCCTGCTTGCTGATCAGATGTCAAGATGCAGAGAGAGAAAGAATCGTCAATACTGGAATATTTTCACGAGGTGAGCACAGTGGTTTTAGATTTCACACACACACACACATATATATGTATATATACACATACAGACACGCGCATATATGTTGTTCTTGCTGGGTTCTTGGGTTTAATTAGTGTTGAATTAATTTGCATGATTTCAGTCATTTGGGCATGGAGGTAAGAGGAAAGAGTTGCATGAAGTACATTCAGGACCAAATCCCATCAGCAATGCTATTCCTCAATATAAAAATGAAAACTTGAACAAGTTAAGAACAGCTCCTTAACTCTCTCTCTCTCTCTCTCTCTCTCTCTCTCTCTCTCTCTCTCTCTCTCTTAATTATTATATTTCTTTTTCTTTCTATTTTGATATAAATATATATATATATATGATCTCCGTATATTATATATACATGGGTAGCTTGGACATACAAAGAACTGGGAATTAATAATTGGTCTTCATTAACTGCTCTTACTTTTCATAATAACTAGCTCAGATCCTGATCATCATTATATTCTCTCTAATTTTGTTTTACACACACATATACGTAACGTACAAGAAGGCGTCATATCAAATTTGGGATGAGATAGCTACAGTGGCTGATGTTTGTGTGTGTGTATATATGTATATATATATCTTCAGCAATATCGAACATATAAAGATTATTTTTATATATAATAATATCAAAAAACACCTTTTTTATTTTTTTAATTATACAAATGTACATAAAGGAATTATCACATTATATTATATTACATAATATTCTTTATGATAATTCTTAATAAAAACTTTGCAAAAGCAAAGCGTGTGAGACTAAAAACATAATATAAACATGTTAAATTTAACTTTTAAACAAGTTCTTTTTTTTTCTTAACTTGCTTTATTTTAAGTGGTCCTTTTACTTATTGATTTAAGTTTTGAACATATTATCTTTTTTTTTTGTTACAATTTTTGTGTTTGAAAAATGCTTTTATAATTAAATAAATAAAATATAAAGTTTTTTTTTTCTTTTTTTTTACAACATGTGAAGATAAAATTTTCTTTTGATAAGTTTGAAGTTAAAACTTAATGTGTAATTTTTAGAGTTTTTATTAAATAATTTACACTCAAATTTTTAAAATACAATTTTACTAAACACAAAATTTTTATTTTTTTCTAAAGTAGTATAATTTTTTATAATTATTTTTATTAAATATTAAATTATTTTTAAATAAAAATATTATTTTAATAACACTTTTAAAATCTCTTTTAACACAAATTACGCGAAATTGAAGCTTACAAACAAATCATATCTTCCACATGGTGGGATTAAACTCCAACCTATTTGTGTAAGTAACCGATGAGTCAATGTTAATTTTGCTCCTAATCACGATCATTATCATGGCCATTTCTATTGATGAACACCATATATATATATATATATATATATCTATATACATCAATTAAATAAGACCATTTTAATTTCTATCAAAAGAAAAAAAAAATAGATCCTCTTAGTTTTTAAAAAGTCAATGTCCTCAAGATCTGAAATCAGCCCATTCCCCACTTAAAGCTGTTGTGGATATCAAATCGAATTTTTGCCATAAAAAAGACAGACAGATGCATGGTTTTCGTGCCATAATGCATATATATATATATATATATATATGTATGTATCTATGCATATAACACTACTGGTTATTGAGACCATGTAGGACGCCATATACAAAACTAAATAAATAAGTTTAACAAGGTTAGCTAGTTATAATATGAATTATGAACGAATGAATAATGTATCATATATTATTTTTACTAAAATTATACAAATCTCATGCATAAAAAATATTATCAATAAAATAATGAAAACGTATTATACTTCCAGTTATATTAATTTTAATAGGATTTAAAATAATATATTATTTTACTTCTATTTAAATTTCTATAAAGATTAATTTTTTACTATTTTTATTAATATTATTTTTATGGTCAGTCAAATTAAATATAGATCTTAAAGTAGACTACATAAATAAAATCTTCCAAACATATGTAACCCTGAGTAGTTTCTTTAGTATAATGGTTGGTTTAGATTCCTTCAAAACCGGTTCAAGCAGAATTTGACAAAGGATAATTCAAAGCAGCAAAGGAAAATGGATAAAGAGAGAGAGAGAGAGAGAGAGAGAGAGAGAACTTGTTTTATATTATGGAAATGGAGGATAAACCTTCGATAATGAACTTTGCAGAAAGAATAAAAATTACAAAATAAACTAACAAAATTATGGAAATTTTTTTCTTCCCTCTCAATTTCACTTTTTATTAGGCTCCTGTGGAGCTCGTTGAGCTCTTTGATATGATATATTATTTGATAGTAAGTTAAGATGTTTTGACATCCTCTCTTAAAATAGATAGTATAAATTTTCAACTTCTATTTTAATAATATATGAATAAAAAGGTGTGTAACATAAAAATTTTGTGAAGATATATGTTATTTACAGTATAGTATTGACACGTTCTATCATTATATTTATATTCTGAATTTTTTTATAAATAAAATTGCAGTTCAGTTTTATATATTTAGTTATTTCATGAAAAACTCTGAATTTGTTGCAATGTATATTGTAGTTTTGTTATCATAATATATTACAAAAGCATGTGAATGTTCAATTCGCAAATCGCAAAGCACCTATCTTATCCAAGTCAATTCACAGCATATTGTGGTCATTGTTTAATACTCTACTTCAAAGGAATGAGAGATATTACCTTATTTTTTCGACTTTCAATAAACTAAACATGATCTATGTATAAAATAATCTCTTATAACGAATTTTTGTATATTTAAACAGCTTACCAATCATTATTGCCACATGTATTAAATTACAAATCTGATGTAGATAGGTAAAATAAACCATATCGAAGTGTATGCTTGATATATCTTAGTGTTTTGTGAGTTACATTAAGATTTTAGCTTTTGAATTGATATATAATTTAACAGTTTATCAAATTATATTTTCAATCTAGAAAAGTAAACACTTATAGTAACTTATTACTATTCCTTATTTTATCTTGTAAATTCTAAGTGCATTATATTATACATGTGTTTGCTCAAGTTTCACGTCATAATTAATGAGTTAAGTCTACATAAAACATGTTATATTTAATATCAACAGAAAGTGTATTGAATTTAAAACTTTTTGGCTGAAAAAGGATCAAGAACATTCTCGTTTGATTTAAGTTGGTATTTGATTAAAATTATCATTGTCCATTATGGCTCAAATATCATAACGGAATTTGGTGAAGATAAATCAAATGGATGAAATACTGCAAGTTCTAGAGAGAAGAAAACTTAATTTTCTTATATATTCTGGAAATGTATAACACAAAATATATTAAATTTACATCTTGTTATAATCAACTACCCATGGAGAATAAAAATCAATTATTTATAGAACAGAATAACAAAATTATAGAGGTTTTCTTTTTGTTTCATATTTTTGCACTCTGTTATACTCATGTCCAGCTAGCTGAGTTCTCTAATCTCACAAATAACCCGACAATGAGTCAATATATTTTGATACATTATATATATCTACGATTTTTTTAAAAAAAAAAACGATTATCAATCATTGGGATATTTTAATATTTAATTATATATTGAAATGTATATATAGTTTGTTAAGGATTATGATATTGTTAATAAGTTATTTTTTAAAAAATAAAAATAAAAATTTCTAAATGATACAACAAATTTTAATGAATAAAGTATGGTATATGAAATATGAGCATTTTGTCTACAATTGCGGCTAATGGCAAAAAAAAATGTAAATTAAAGTCAAGAAATTAAAGGTACGAAATTATATTTGTTTTAAATAATTACGAAACTTTGTAAAAGGATTAAAACAGGTAATAAACTTCTGCTTTTTCTTTCAAATTTTTTTTTTTAAGAAAAAATGTCTTAAAATTTTAATCCGCTGTTATATAATAAAACTAAAAAATCTAATAATTATTGAATTCTTTTTATTTAAAAATATAATAAATTTATTAATATTTAATATAATTTAGTTACACAATACCGATAATAAATTAGTAAAATATCTAACTAAATAATAGATACTAGTACAAGTTATGTAAGTTTAAAGTTATGATATTGAAGTAAAATGCAAGAATCATAAACACTTTTCTAAATATATATATATATATATATATATGTATATATGTAGAGAGAATAAGTTGATTGATATCTACCTCATCCCATCCAATGATTGCTAAGAAAATTAATAGGATTCTCTTTCTTTTTGTGATGAATACAAATTATTAGAGTTTAGTCAAGTTTTGTTTCAAAGAAAAAGGTATAAGGAGAGCATATTTAGAAAAATGAGCCTGATGACTTGATTTTTTATGTGTTTTTAAAAGATTTATATGATAAACATAATTGTACAATTCTGTATAAAAGTGGGTTTCTTCTTTATTTTTTGTGGGCCAATAAGAGCCAATTTTGTACTTCCACACACTTTACATAATTAAAACAAACCAAACACTACTGCTGTAATTCATCTCAAAAGTATATATATATATATATATGTGTATGATTCCTCACTACCCAATTGAAGACACACATGATTATTGATTGAGTTATATATAAAAGTTAAAAAAAGTCATATATTTATTAATAATTTCAGTTTGAGTTTAAACTTGTAATGATTAATGATTTCAGTGATATTTTAGTCTACAACACTTAAAATGATATAAGAATGTGTAATAAGTTTGTAATATTAAGTTTATATGATTTTAAACTTTGTAATTTGTGGTTTTGTAATTTATAACCTTATGAGATATTTAACTTTGCATGACGTATGAATTGTAATTGTATAATGTCTGATCTTGATAAATATATTAAGATTTTAAATTGTAGAGATTGTGATATTTTAATATCACATAAAAACAAAATAAGTCACTGTGAATTTTTAGTGGTTAGTAGTTTGGATTTGAACTGCTGTCGTATTAGTAGTGTTTAAGGCATGTTGTGTTATACTATTATTTGACACTTCATAATAATGTTACATTAATTAAAATTTTTACTGTAATTTACTTAGAAGTAAATATATATTAAAATAAATTATGTAATAATAAAGTGTAATCGTAAGGAAGTTGGAAAAAAAATGTGAAAATTTGAGTCCGGATAATATTTTTGAAGGAAAAATTAGAAACTAGGAGTCAAAACGTAATTAAAAAAAATTGTGCTATATAGAATTGCCCAGTCAGCAATCCCGACGAAACGGAGCACGTCGCATGGT